AGAAAATAAAGTTTTAAAGATTCGGGATTGTGGGTGATACATTAAAAAAATTGGGTATAATTTGTAAAAAAATAAAAAGTTTGGATACTAAAATTGCAATTATTACTTTTAAATTTTGAAATGTTTACTTTTTTAACGAAAAATTTGACAGTAGGAAATTTTTCAAACAAAATGTTTCAAATACAGAATTTTCTGTGATTTTCAATAGGTAGCGGGTATATCACAAATGGAAACGTTTATCCTTCTACTATTAATTTTTTTTTTTTTTTTTATAGTTAGCCCCATGTATACAATTCAGACTTGAGTGACAATGGTGGGCTGGTCCACTACCGTCGACTTTGACTTCTCGTGGGATATTTTTTTTATGGGTTCCCACTCCTACAGTGCAGATATGGACCGGAAATAAGTACAGTTCAGACTATCCTGTTTTGTACGCATTCAGACTGTCCTGTTTTGTACCCATTTCAGACTTGAGTGACAATGGTTGGTGTGCTTAATCAACGTTAACAATTAATTTTTACCACGTATATTTTATTTAATTCACAAATTTTTAACTACGTATTTTATTAATTTTTATCGAAATTTACCAAAAATCAGATTTTTAATCCTCTCCAACAGGGCTAAAGATAAAGTTGACTTCTCTCCAATATATGTATTTATTGTGGCTTGAAATAATTGAAAACTTCGACAGGTGTACAAAATTCATAGATTATCAGGTTTTGGATTTTTTATATATTGTCAATGCGTGAATAGTTGACATATTCGACACTTGATTTAACATTAAAGTTTGGTTCCTTTTTCAAAATTTATTTTTAATTACACATTCACGAAATTTTAACAAATTTTAAAAAAAAAATTGATTTTAGTTGAACCAAACGAGGCTACATTTCGTAGCAGTTTTGAAAAACTTCTATTATTATATTTATTATTTACGTTTTTTTTTTTCGTATGACTGTTTGTGGTTACACCATTTTTTATCGATAAAACTTTTAATTATAAAGTTTTTGGCAAAAAGATCTGTTATCAAAAAGTTGACGATTATTTGATTGTCGACAAAAAAAAGAAAAAAAAATGTTGTGAACATTAATTTGATGGTTTGGCCACATATCTAGAGAAATTAAGTACTTTAATTTGTTAATTGTAGAAATAATTATCACATAAAATTGAATATTTTATTTAAATTTTCATGATGGAATTTTTTAGTATAATTCTTATTATTTAAATTTTACTTGTTTAAGAAGTTATTATATAACACATTAATATGATTTATAGTAAAAAAAATATGAAATACCGTAATTTCTTTGACTAGCATCCTATTCATTTTTTTTTTTTTTGTATTTTAAATAATTTGATAAAGAGGGCTAAAGTTTAAAAATAAATTAACTTGCAGTTTTCCTTGAATCAAATTTCTTGGAATATGACGACATGCCTTGGAAATCAAAATCTGTCATGAATTACGTTTCTCAAACAGTTTATTATGTCGACATACTTACAGAATATTAACTGTCTGACTTTCCTTCTATATATGAAATATACGTAAATTTAGATAAATTAGAGAGAAATTTCAGGCTCAATGTGCTCATTATGTCGTCATTACCTTTGAAAGCAAATCTCATTGAATTAGTCTTTAAATACAAGCAATCTTTTAAAACCTTTGTTTGACTTCTGCATGTCTTTTACACAAGAACCTTTAAGAGTACCCACCCACCATTCTGGTAGAAATTTATACTCTCTTTTAGGCAAAATTCTTGAATCTCCACTTTAATTCATATCCCATAATGAATTTTCAGTCATATTCACGTGGATGGGTTTGCAAGATCGTTTTCGTGGCTTTCCTCGTACTACTTCCGACTGCAGTTTTAGGGGAATGTACTTGTGATGCCGACGAGGAAGATCGGAACAAAAGTTTAGCGCTCAAATATAAGTTAGCTGCTCTTGCTTCAATCCTCGTTGCGAGTGCAATTGGGGTTTGTCTTCCCGTTTTGGGGAAGTCCATACGAGCTTTGAGTCCAGAGAGAAGCTTTTTCTTTATTATAAAGGCATTCGCAGCCGGAGTAATTTTGTCGACGGGTTTCATCCACGTGCTTCCTGATGCGTTCGAAAGCTTGACATCTCCGTGTATACCGGATCGCCCGTGGGGAGATTTTCCATTCACGGGCTTCGTGGCGATGGTTTCCGCCATTGGGACTCTTATGGTGGACACATACGCAACCTCCTATTACAGCAAGAAATCAAGCGGCAAGGCGCAAATAGCTAGTGGCGAAGAAGGAGTTGTCCCTGTTCATACTCATGCCACCCACGGTCACGCACATGGAGCAGTATCGATGGAAATTGATTCTGGTGAAACACAACTTCTTCGTCACCGTGTAATCTCACAGGTATATAATCCACCATTTTTCTTGATTCACTGTGTTTGTTGTGTTTTGAAGCAGAAATTATTTGTTACTGATGGTTAATTTTCGTGGTGCTGTAGGTGTTGGAGTTGGGAATTATAGTCCATTCTGTAATTATTGGAATTGCTTTAGGTGCTTCTGAAAGTCCTAAAACGATAAGGCCTTTAATTGCTGCTTTGACCTTCCATCAATTCTTTGAAGGCATAGGGCTAGGAGGATGCATAACCCAGGTATTCACACTTATAATTCTTATCTCACTATGTCAAATTAATTATTGAATAATTTAGTAATTTTAGTAGTAATATAATTTGTCATTGAATAATTTTTAAAATAAATTAATTATTGAGAGTTAAGAAATAAGAAAATGAAGGAAACACAGTTCATTTGGTGTAATGAGTTGGAGATAACTAGATATGACGATGTGAAAGTTGCACCAATTTAATGTAATGAGTTGGAGATGATCTTAGAATATTTTTTACTTGACTTTGTTACTGATAGATTGTTTTAAAGTATAGATCTTTTCCAACCGATGTGCAAATAGATCGTATGTACTAATGTAAAAAAATATTGACATCGCTAAACTCGATTTTAAGATTAATTTCCTATTGCTTTGTAGTTTTCTTGTTATCTAATTCCTTTGTATATCTTCACAAATCTACTCACAATATTATGAAAAAAGCTTGAATTAATTTTTTATTTTGTTTCAATTCCTCATTCTTTTTAGAAAGACTCTAGCATGCATCTTAGCGTTTAGCTTAATTATTTGTGTTCTTCATTTGCAGGCTAAGTTTAAATCATGCGCAGTTGCAATAATGGCCCTCTTCTTCTCGCTCACAACCCCAATAGGCATCGTGATAGGCATCGGAATAACCAACATTTATAGTGAGACCAGTCCCAATGCTCTTATTGTTGAAGGAATTTTTAACGCAGCATCGGCCGGAATCTTGAT